CAAAATTATCAGAAATTAGCTTCGTGTAACAACGTCTGTTGGGTCATCTAGTATATTATATATATATATATATATATATATATTTAATAAATATATTAATATATAGCAATTTTTTTAAAATAAAAAACTAACATTTATTTATTCAGTATGTACACTAATAGATACATGATGTTTATCATTCAGCACAGCATTTTTGTATATTCTGTTGAAACATAGCTCTCTAGTACGATATGCATATATTTTTAATGAATTTGAGAAAATGTTTCAATATTTCTATGACTTTTACCATGTAGCTGCAATGAGCGTTTTGTTCTATATCTATTACCTCATTTTTCACACATGAAAGGGCATTCATCAGTATGAACCATTTCATGTCGAATTAGATCTCGTTTAATTTTGTAGGTTTTACCACAAGTGGTACATTTAAATGGTCGTTCTAAGCTGTGCATTGTTGAATGCTTTATCAAATTGCTGGAACAAGTATACTTCTTATTGCATATTTCACACTGATAAGGGCAATCCCCTGTATGGATCCTTCGATGTATTGTTAATATGGATTTTCTTTTGAATGATTTATCGCATATCTCACATTTATGAGAATATTCTCCGTTATGGAACAATTTGATGATGTTTCAATGTATGTTTATTTTTGAATTTTTTACTGCATAATTCACATACAAGAGGCTGTTCTATACTATGGATAGCTTTATGTTGCGTTAAATCTTCTTTTGTTGCGAATGTTTTATTACATATTGCACAAGCATAAGTACGCTGTCCAGTATGTTTTAATAAATGAAGCTTTAAATGGTTCAGTTTTAGAAACCCTTCATTGCATATTACACATTCGTGAGTGTGTTTTCCAGTATAGTTCAAGTGATGCACTTTTAATAAGTAATATGTTTTGAATGTTTTACCGCACATCTTGCATTTATGACCTCTTTCTTGAGTATGGATTGATTTATGTTGGGTTAATAATTGCTTTGTTTCGAATATTTTTTTGCATATGTTACATTTATGCAGTTTCGTGTTATAGCTTGTTTGATCTAATCTCAAACCAGCATCTTGAAACTCAATAGTTTCCTGTTTTACTATTGTTACCTCTGAATTTAAAAAACGCTCTAAATAAATTTCTTCATTTTCTGGCTCTCTTTCGTAAACATCTAATTCCTGTTTCACTTGTAGACTTTCAATTGGTTCCATTTTAATTGTTACGTTTGAGTTTCTTTCTTCAGACATTTTTGGCTTATTGTAATTTATACTTTAAAATCACTAATAAATATCATTTAACGTATATTTATAAAAAATTATTCAAATACAATATAATTCTTTACAAAGATTTTACTTCACTATTTCGTCCTCACCAGCACTACCGATCAGATCAGAATTTTTACTATGAAGTCATCACACTGTCGTGCCAGTCGCGCCAATTCTCTTATCTTTGCGCGCCAATATAGAATGGAGAAATGCGCGCCAAAATATGTCAGAGACAATTTATATTTATTTGTACGGAGACATGATTAATAATAATTACAATAATCAAAAATAATGAAAATCATCTAATAATAAATACAAATATATAATAATGCAGAAACTGTCCTCAAGTCTTATAACTAAAAATAGTTGTAAGCGGCATTAGTCTAACTTCATGTTCATGTTCATGTTCTAAAAATGTATGATTTATTTAAGAACGGCCGTTAACTGTAATCAGTTGTTACCTACATTTTATTATAAGAAATTACCATTTTATAAATTTCAATCACATAGGAATCTCAAACTATTGGTGTCTTATATTTATATTTATTATTAGCCTTAAGGCAAATTGCTCGAACTTCCCGTACCGTAACAAAATGTTCGAGAAATATTAAATGTTTTCATATAGATAGATAGATAGATAGATACTTTATTTAAATTCAATATTTACAATTTACGTCAATACAATTATTATTTTTATCACAATATTATAATATAACTATAGTAATATCAGTGATATTTATGAACAACTCAAGATTAACCTAATTACAATTAATAATTAACTTAGATTAAAGAATTAATTTATTGTATAAATAGGTTGATCTATAGGATGTTTTTTGACAGTCGCATTGAAACAATTCCTGCTTTTCAATTTCCATTCATTGGGAAGCTTGTTGTAAATTTCGACGCCACATTCTATCGCTTTCCGACAGTAAATAGCAACACCTCCGTGCATATGTATACTACTGCAGAATGAGCTGACTAGCCGAAAATCACGTATATAGGTCGATTTTGCTCGTTGCCAAGCCAATGTTCACATAAACAAAAAATGTTTATTTTATTGTCATGGACAACTTTTGTTAATGCCTCCGTTTTATTGGATAAACATTGAATGTACAAGGACATTATATATTAAACCAGTTTAACAATTTTTCTTCGTTTTTTCTCCCAGATGAAATAAAAAACGGTCCACACAGACTCCTTTTGGCCAAACATCCGGAGATTTTATTCTTTCCAATTCACTCTCTGCAACGGATACCTTGAAAGAGGCATATGTTTTCGGATGTTTAGAAGCCATTTTCTCACATTCAATATTTTTGAAGTTTTTCTCATTTAAATAATTTTTTAGAGTTTCCGTCGATGTTTCCGGTGCCAGGCGAAACACATGCAAGTGAGCCTTCCTCACAACTCCCGCGAGTGTAGTGCTCACATTTGTTCCTTCTATGGCTTTATTTTTTCGTTTCGGCGACTTCTTTTTCTGGACCAAAGTCCAGTTTCCATCGTCATTTGCTTTAATTGATTGTTGTTCAGCTTGGGTCGATTGATTAGGCAGCTCCGTGTTGGCAACCGCATCTCGGAATGTTTCGCTTCTACGCTTGTCTAATTCCTTTAAAGCAGTTGCTACTGCAACACTCACCTGTTCTTTTGAGACCTTATTAGCATTGGCACTGTTTTTATTGGTAGATTTATGTTTAGGCTTCTTAGATGCTGCTTTCTCAGTATTACTATCAATATTGGGTGCAGCTGACGAAACTTCTTTATTCTTTTCATTTGGCTTTAATAATTGCAGCATCTTAATTTTTTCTTCAAGATTCTGAATTATGTATTCCTTATCCTTTATTATTGTCATTTTATCGTCTATTATGGTATTTTTGTCGGTAATTGTTTGTTTTAAGTTGTTAATAGTATCCATATGTTTGTCACTCGACACTTCACTGCTCACCTCACAGCACTGTATCAAATTTCCAACAACGAATTTAAAACCTTTTCTTGTGGCACAACTCACATGGTAAATTTTGCCACAGTTCTTACAAACACCCACACTTGCAGAAGGTTTTGTTTCACAGCAGTTGTAGGTTTTTTTGGAATCCGATTCCAAAATATTTAATTGTGTCAGAGACATTACGACACTTCAAAAAACACGTCCGCACGGTTCAACGGTTAACATATAGATTATTATAAATACTGTCTAATATTTATAAAAGTTATATAAACTGAATTACGAAATTAAAATTATTTATTTGAAGTATATAAGTGAGCTTTAGAACTTTAGCCAGCATTAAAACCAAAATCTGAATTATTTTCGAGATACAAAAAAAAAAATTTTTAGACAAAAAAAAAATTTAATATTTTTTTTTCCAAAAGCAATTATTTTGTTAAAACAAGCAGAAAGTTTCTTGTACTAAAATATTGTAACATTGTCGAATATTTATAAGAATTATATAAACTGAATTGCAAAGTTGAAATTATTTGTATAAAGTATATTAGAACAGAATAAAAATTAAAATCTGAATTATTTTCGGCATACAAAAAAAATTTTTTTGAAAAAAAATTAAAAAAAAAGAAAAATTTGAAACATTTTTTTTTCCAAAAGCAATATTTTGTTAAAACAAGCAAAAGTTTTTTTGAATCACTCAAATCGGATGCTTAGTTCTCTCAAAAACTGCCATTTTAGCTCTGTATCTTCAAAATGGCTGGACCTGCCTTTGCCAAAAACTAATAACCACTTCTCCCAATCATTACGAATTAAATGTTTTTTAGGTCATTCAAATCGGATGTTCTCTCAAAAACTCGATTTCTATTTTCTGCATTCTTTGCTCCGTATCTCCGTAACGGCTGGACCTGCCTTTGTCAAAAATTTATCAGCACATTTCCCTATAAAAAGGAATTGAATATTTTTTGAACCATTCCAATCGGTTGACCCGTACGCCGGAAAACGTGAACAAAGAATTGTGTTCGTACATACATACATACGCACATAGATCCATATTTTTTGACGTATGCCAAAGTATTCAGAAACCTTCAAATCGTGAAGAAATGTAAAAATTTTCAATTTCGATTTTTGGACGATTACTATAACTTACTCTACGGGAAGTTAATATTTTTTACAAAAGCAAATTTTTGTGTCAACACATGCATCTTTGAATCAATCAAATCGGATGCTTCATTCTCTCAAAAAATGCTATTTTTTGCACATTTAACTCCCTACCTCCAAAACAGCTGGAACTGCATTTGTCAAAAACTAATCATCACTTCTCCCTATCATTACAAATTGAATGTTTTTTAAATCATTCCAATCGGATGCTCGGATTCTCGCAAAAACTATTGCTTTTTCAATCATTCAAATCGGTTCGGCGGTACTCCCGAGAACGTCGACGAAAAGTTGTATTCATACATCCTTACACACACACACACATCTATTTTTTCTAAGGTGTGTCAGATTGTTCAGAAACCACTAAAACGTGAAGTTATGCGAAAATTTTCATTTTCGATTTTTGGCTCATTACTATAACTTACAATACGAGTAGTTGATTGTCTTATTTATTCGCTGCAAAAGACAATAAAATTTTAGCGCGGTGGCCGCAAAATGAACAAAAGTAAAAAAAATTATACTTTGTTATTAAAAATTAGTTTTATTTACACAAAATGCTTATTTCATATTGATACACCTGTGTATATAAATTTCAAAACATTTTCTCTTTTATGGTATATATTTCATAAAAAAAATTAGAAAAAAATTGATCTTTATTTCAATGTGATTTTTCATGTAGTTGTAAGGTCCGTTTTGCTTTATACGCTTTACCACATGTCTCACATTTAAAAGGGCGTTCTTCACTATGGACAAGATTATGTCGATTTAAATTTGTAATACTTGTAAAAGTTTTACTGCATTTTTCACATTTGTGAAGACATTCTCCAGTGTGGATCCTTTTATGTACATGTAATGTGTATTTTCCAGAAAATGTTTTACTGCATATTTCACAAGTGTAAGAAGTTCTTTCTTCATGGACATACTGGTGCTTCTTTAATATCTCTTTTGTTTTAAATACTTTATTACATATTTCACATGTGCGAGAGCGTTCTCCGGTGTACCCCATTTCACGATGCTTTGATTCCCTTCCTTTATAGCGCAATTCATGTAATTTTAATGTGTATTTTGATACAAATGTTTTATTGCATGTTACACATTTATAAGGATCGTCTGTATGAAAAATTTCGTGTTGGTTTAATGCGAATTTTGTTACAAATCCTTTATTGCATATTGCACATTTATGAGGGTATCCTTGAGTATGCATCATTTTATGTAGTTTTAATGCACGGGTTGTTTTAAATGCTTTATCACATGCCTCGCATTTAAAACGGCGTACTCCGGTATGTACAAGTCCATGAAGATTTAATTCCTTTTTTGTTATGAATGCCCTGTTACATATCCCACACTCGTAAGGACGTTCCCCAGTGTGTAGCATTTTATGTCGCTTTAATTCAAATTTTGTTGTAAATGTTTTGTTGCATGTCTCACATTTATAACCGCTTCCTCTGGCATGTACAATTGCATGATAATTTAATTTTTGTTTTGTTGTGAACATTTTACCACATTTTTCACATTTTAGAGGGTTTTCTTTAACATGAATAATTGCATGTTGGATTAATCTATTTCTTATTTTGAATGTTTTATTGCATGTCTCACATTTATAAGGGCGTTCTTCGATATGGATTATTTTATGGGCTCTTAATGCTTGTGGTGTTCCAAATGTTTTGTTGCATATTTCACATTTGTGAGCACGTGTTCCACTGTGCATAGTTAAATGTGCTTTCAAATTATTTAGTAGAATAAACTTTTTAAAGCATATTTCACATTTAAAAGGGAGTTCCCCAGTATGAATCATAATATGTCGCTTTAATCTTTGTAGTGTATTGAATGTTTTGTAGCATATTGCACATTTAGAAAGGGATTTTCCAGCGTGTATCTTTTCATGTATTCTTAATGCGCCTTTACTTGCAAATGTTTTGAGGCATATTTTACATTTGTGAAGTTTTGAATTATGGATTTTTTACGTTTGCCTGAAACTCTGCCAAAAGATTTGCTACTTTTATTTTTATTATACACTATATTACTTGAC